TATACTTATAATTCAAATTATGATAACCCACGTGCATTATCTTACATTTATTATAATCAAAACCCGTCTTTCATTTATTTGCCCAACTTACTAAATGAACTAAATCCTTTGTAAATCAGCAGCATCCTCTTCACAGCTAGCAACACCCAAGACCTTAATATCTCTTCAAATTTAAGTAACTTGTTGACCATTCCTTCATCTGTGTCATTGATGAAATCAAAAAGAGCAAAGGTCCTAAGACTAAGGCCTGAGGTAGCCCATTTGTGACATTAGTCCAGTTTGACTGAACTCCATTTGTAAGAACCCTTTGCTTTCTTCCATCCATCCACTCTTTTATTCAATTTGCTAACTTATCCCTCAGACCTATAGAGATAATTATTTACAAGCCATTTATGTAGCACCTTGTAAAATACTTTCTGAAAATCCAGATACACCTAATCTACACCCTTACCCTCATCTACATGAGCAGTAACCTTCTCAAAAATTGTCAAAATATTTGTAAGACAAGATTTTCCCATAGTGAAACTATGTTGACTATCCAATAAAATTCTAAATTTTGTTAAATAACTTTGCAAAGCATCTTTTAAGTCTTTTCAAAACTTTTCCCACAACTGATGTAAGACTAATGGGTCTATAATTACTGGAACAATTTTTATCACCACTTTTTAAATAGAGGAGTTACATTAGCTAACTTCCAATCCTCTGTTACCTGCCCACTATTCAAGGACTAACAAAAAAAATAGTAGTAAGTGGCTCACATATCCAATCTTTAACCTCTTTCAAAACCCTTGGGGAAATATCTGGCTCAGAAGCATTATTGTTTTTTAAACTACCCAATGTTTTTCTTAACCAGCTCAGAATTTATGCATTTATTTTGTTTGATCTCGTTTTACTACAACTACTAGCAACAGTGACAATTAAATAAGTAACTTATCTAGCACTGTGCAAAGAACCTTTTCTTCTTTCTTGCTATTGATTGGGCTTCCATTTATATTAAACATAATACAAACTATAACACATTTGAATTATTTACCAAATACTTTGTACTTGTGTAGGGAGCACATTATGCTAAAAGACTTGTATATATGACACAACAGTTTGTAAGCGTAATAAAAAATTTAATACATACTACATGCTTTGACAGACCAATGCTCTGTTAAAACATGTAATATGTATTAAAAGTTTTATTATACTTACAAATCATTGTCTTATGTTATAAGTACAAAGTACTTATTCAACTTATCAATCAATCCAAATCAATCTGCAATACCTCAACACCCTCAGTATAGCAAAGGAAAAAACAACTTTAATTTCATCAGCAGTATTTACTAAATGACTAATTATGTCCATATTAATATCATTAATGTAAATAACAAAAAACAAAGTATCATAAGTCATATCACTGATAACTAAGGTCCAGTTTGACTGGATGTGGTAGGTTTTTGCTTTCTTTTACACAGTCACCTTACAATCCATTTAACTAGCCTTTCTCCATCTCCAACCAATGTGATTTTTAGCTAACTTTTTGTGTGTATTGTATCTTACCAACACCCTT